GCCCTAAGGGAGTATCAGGAGGAGGTGAAGGAGGAGACAGTGGTAATATGGCAAGCACAGAAGAGGTGCAGCAGCCTGACGATGGGGCCTCTCTAGCCTCCACACTGAACAAACTGAAGATGATGATGAAAAAGGAGGAAGGATATGCTGGACAGGAACCTCAGTACTATCACTATGTACCTCCAGCTCACTGCCGGGTTAAGCCTCACTTCCAGTTTTTGCTATTCATGAAGGCCAGTGATCAGTGTCAGAGCAAAGATGAGGAAGAAGTGCAGGAAGAGAAAACGGTTGAAGATAGTTGTGAACAGTCCAATGTTGAAGAGTGTAACACTGAAAAAGAACAGGTTAGTACCACTTCAACGCCTGACCCAGAGCCAACTCCTCCATCACCTAAAGGGAAGACGGAGGATGTTTCTCCATGCATAGCAGACGCAGCTGCTGTGATACCAAACTCACCTACACAAAAAACAGAGAGAATGCAGGATACTCTGGATTTTAACTCGGGCCCTAAAATCCCCACTGGTCCCTTTTTCCCAGTTCTTAGCAAAGACGAGAGCACTACCCTGCAGTGGCCCTCTGAACTCCTCGAATTTACAAAAGTCCAACCTTCCCTGTCTTACAGCTGTAATCCCCTTTACTTTGATTTCAAGCTGTCCCGTAACAAAGGCTTGCGTGGTGGGAAAACCGCAAAGTCTCCTAAGCCATGTGAAGAGTCTGATGACAAGGGGCAAGAGGTATCAACCTCAACAGCTGAAGTAGATTCAACCACTAAACCTGGGACCAGCAGTGACAAAGACAAACCAATGATGAAGGGAGAGCCTGGCCAGTCAGAAAGTGATGAGCAAAAGCCCTCAACTGCTGGCAGCAGTGGTGCCAAGAAAAAAAAGAAAAAGAAGAAGCATAAGAAGTCTGCAAAGCACTCAAAACGCAAAGGAAAAGAAAAAGGAGCAGCAGAAGCGGCTGAGGGAGGGACTGAGGTAATGCATGAAAAGCCCAAAAAGAAGAAAAAACACAAACGAAAGAAGAGCAAAAACAAGGCTACAGATCATGATGAGGCAATGGGTGATGAAAAGGAAAAGGCAAAACCAAAGTCAGAAGACAAAGCTGTTTCCTCTACTGTTCAGCTGACAGCTGCGGGGGGTGGAGGTGCGGGAGTAGAGCTGAGAAAGAGGAAGCGTACTACTAAGGAAGTGCCTTGCAAGTCTGTAGCAGAAGAAGGAGGAGCTGGTAAAGCTGCTGACAAGGCAAACTCCTCGGAGGAGCACAGTAGCATCAAGCGACAAAAGACCGACTCCAGTGCACCTCCAAGTGCTTCCTGCTCCTCCTCAGCCCAAAAGAGTCCATGTCCTGGTAGACCCCCCAGCAGCGAGAGTGAAGAAGAAGGGGGCTCTAATACTCAGCGCTCACGTCATCATAGGTCAAGTCCACGGGAACAACGCCGCCACCATAGTGAGGAATCAGGGCGGTCGTGCAGTCGTTCATCAAGACGAGGGGAAAGACGAGGCAGCAGCCGACGTCGCCACCGTGGCCAAACCTCCCGTAGTTACTCTTACTCCACCAGCTCTGAGCGCTCCTCGGCTGGCAGTAGTGCTTACAGCCACCGTAGCCGCAGCTACTCGGACAGCTACAGTGACTACAGCACAGAGGGTCGCAGAAGGAGGCACTCCAAACGTTCATCAGACTCAGAGTATGAACGGAGGGGTAGCAGAGGACGTAGACGATCCAGGAGACATCAATACTCCTCTTCCTCCTCAGAAGACTCGCGCTCACACAGCTACAGCCGCAGAAAAAGGCACCGGCGGCACCATCGGAGCAGCTCAAGAAGCTCCAGTAGCTGGAGCCGCAGCACCAGCGCGAGATCTTGGAGGCGCAGCTACAGCCGAAGCCACAGTTCTGCCAGCCACTCTTCCAGTTCAACCAAAGGCTCCCCTCACAGACGAGGCCCCAGGGGTCGAGGGGACAGTGACACACATCGCAGAGACTTCAACCGCTCTCGAATCTACCGCTCCCAATCTCCACGGTCATCATCATCACGAGGCCTTAACCGCAACACCCATTCATCCAGCTCACAGGCTTTGAGGCAAGGAGTGTCCCGAGATGCAGGGGAACAGAAAAACACCCTCACTGCACGCCAGCTTCTGGAGAAAGTTCAATCTAAAAAAAGCTCTGATGATCCTGCCACAGGAACAAAATCTGGCATTAAGATTAAGGATCCACCACAAGGCTACTTTGGTCCCAAACTACCCCCATCCCTGGGAAACAAAGCCATGCTGCCACTTTTTGGTAAGTTGCAGGCAGGAAAGAAACCAATTATTCCCCTAACCAGACCTGATGAAGGAGAGAAATCAGGGGCAGGGAAGAGCTCTGAGGGAGAAGTTATCCTAGTAGAGCCTATACGTGAATTCCCTCCTCCTCCTCCACCTCCGGCTCCACCGGTCCAGAAGATTGAAGAGGCCCCACAGAGTACAGTGGTGCAAGAAGAGACACAGCATCCTACCACAGAAGCCCAAGTGCATCAAGAACCCCGGCCATTGTTTGACCAGGAGCCTTCCATGATGATGCCTCAGTACCAAGGAGAATCAGGACAGGACACTTCCCAGAATCCCATGATGGAATCCCTCATGTCAGAAATGCAGCAGCAGCCTCCAATGCATGCCTACCCTGCTTACCCACCACCCAGCTTGGAGGAGGATGGTATGGAGACGGAGGAGGATGGCCTGGCTCCTTTGGAGAGTCAGCCCATTACGTTCACACCAGAAGAGATGGAGAAGTACAGCAAGCTGCAGCAGGCTGCACAGCAGCACATTCAACAACAGCTTTTGGCCAAGCAGGTCAAGACTTTTCCCTCTGCTGCTGCAGCGGCAG